CACAGCCACAGCCCACAGCAGAAGCCAAACCACCCGAAAATGGAAGTGCAGTAGCTGGAACCCTCTACTTCGCATAGCTCTGTATTGCTATTCAATTTCTTTGTAGACCATGATTTCCAAGCACGATCAGTTGAAAGATCCTTTCAGGGCAACTTTCAAGCTTACCGGTGCTGAAACAACGATGTGGCTTGACAAACTCTAGCCCGCTAAAGACACACATGGCTTGCGAAGTTGTTCTCTAGCTCCCTTTTTTTACACAGCTGTGGGGGCATGGGAGAAGCTCACAGTGGCGCAACCTTTCTGAGCCCATCTGGAGATTCACAAAGAGAACCAGAGCTCTAGGAAACCAGAGGAGTGGGGGACCGGGGGACCTAGCCCACTAGCCCTGCCCGGTGAGTTCGCAGGGCTCCGGGTGGTGGGTCTCAAACTCTGTGACTTAAGAGTTTAGGCGTGAGGCCTTATGATTACGGCTTCCGGATTCGACTTTCAGGACGCAGGTTTATCTGATTAGGGTGACTTGCTCTGCAATCCAAGAATTCTGATTCTGTACGGATCGTTTTGCATTGCCTTTACCCATCATCAGCCTTTGTTCTGCGAAAGGATGCGCGATGCTTAGGAGCAGAGCTAGTGCTGCTGCAACAGGGTTACGGGGGACAGCAGCAAAACCTACGTTAGGTCCTAAGATATAACCAGTACACCTCTGTCCCTGTGCTTCGTTCTCTTAATAAAATGAGTGAGCCACGTGAGTTAATTTAATTCACTCCCTTCATTAAATTAAGTCACGCCACTCATTTAATTAAGGAACTCACGACACAAGTGAACGAATGAGTGAGTGAATTTAATGAGTGAAACGAACAAATGAACGAACTCCTTTCCTTTCTGATGACTATCTTGGAGTCCTTACATCGCCTAGGAGGAAAAACAATGAGGCTCAAATCTTCTGATGGCCTCGCAAGCTCCGTGTGAATCTTCAGCCAGGTTGGGGTCCACAACCACCTCATTTTTGACAGGTAATCCAATGCCTACAGCTCCGCTTCATGTTCGTTCGTGTTTGCGAATGCGGGTTTCCTCCACCACACATCAGACATGCTTTCATCACTGTCAATGTTTCGCAAGGATGTTTAAAAGCAAGCATTTGCATAATAAGCACAGCAATCTGCTATCCAACAATATCGTTATTGTACTCCAGCATAAAGGTGCTGCCAATGCTGGAGAGCTTAGAGCTTCGCGTGGAACGTTTGGGGAAGGACGGATGCGAGCGGCCTCAAGGAATTGCACATACGACTTGCAATATATGAGCACGTTCAATGAGTTGCACACGTTGCGTCTGATCTTATTTGGAGCACTTGAGTGGCTACCAAGGATTAGGGTTGGCGCATATGCGTACTCCCACGAAGAACAAATTCTACTTGGGGTGCAAAGCGCGTGGATTGCTGTCTTGTGCCGTCATGTCAGGACCTGTCAATGCTTCTTGTCATCTGTAATTTCTGGAGCTTCGGGAAGTTGACGTAAAAATGCCCGGCTCCATCCCTGAGCTCATCGTCTTGGAAAGCTCACATGTTTCATGCCAGAGGTGCCAGTCAGTCACAAATGTCATTGTCCTTGGGCCCTCCAGGCGACCTCGAAATTATCATTGCTTTCGTGCTCTCATATCTTCTTTGCGCGTTGAAAGTGCCGACAGTCAGACGACCTTTTCGTAACTGTTATCGGTTTTGGCCAGGTACAGCTTAATTGCATGTCAAAAGCATCCCTGCAAGCAGGAGTCGAACTACATCTTAGAAAAAAGTCCAGGCACAGGCAGCCCTCCACCTACAGAGGTTGAGGACTCTTTGCGGACATTTTGTGATGCCCGTGACAAGACACGAAAATCCATCTACGGAAGCACCCGCCAATGAGATGTCCGGACATCTTCCCTGGATACTGTCAAAACGGATGTAATTTGTGAAGGCTATTATAGGAGTAAGGGACGTGAACGGGCCAGGGTGACAATCAGTCTAACAGTGGCCTGTGCTGTGTTAGCAGGATGGGGCCGCGCAAGGATTGGCTACTGTGAATGCATTGCTTGGCTTACAGCTGGAGGAATAGTGCGTGAGCCCTGTGCAGTGCTGATTTGATTTGCTAGTACTGGCAGTCATTGCAGCTATGATTCTGATGAACACTAGGGTGACAATGGCATGTACCACCATTGGAGGTTCCGGACCATAGACATGAGGAAGGGGTGTTTGTTGTTTAAAGGTCCCCACCCACACCCCACTATCCGGTGGATGCAGTAGGATCCTTCTATACACAAGGATGCGCCACGTGGCACCCTGAGCGCTGATCCTGCTGATAATGGCCGCAAATTCTTCGCAGAATCATCCAGCTGAGCTTGTTTCTTGCTTACTGTTTGGCCCCCTAAGCTCTAGCTAGCACCCTGTCAGGTTGAAAGAGCATCTGAAGTCTGAAGCATTTTTTGGCAGTCTTTCATTTCAACCCTTACGGTCTGGCTGTCGCCCCGTGAGGCCTAGCTACCGCCGTGTGAGGTTTCAAGCGCTCCGAGAGTGAGTGTTCTAATAGGAAGTTCTCATCACACCTCGTGAGGTCTAGCCATCGCCTACAAGGCCCTCAAAGCGCATTGACCCAAGAATGTACTCCGCAAATTTGGTAATTCACAGTCATGCGCGGAGTTTGTGCGTTTTGGATGACATCTTCATAGGGTTATGAGGGCCTCTCAAACTTGGATGCAGATCCCAATTTTGAGAAGCATGCATGTTCATGTTTGTAGCCTGTCCGCAGGGCCTCAAGGGGCACTCAGTTGAAGGAACGCGTGTATTTGTTTTCTTTCTGGTTTTCTTGTTGTTGGGCTGGTCCACATTGAACCCGAGCGGGCCAGCAAGTGAGTGAACACCCGTTTTGCACTCCGACTCGACAGCCAACAAACACAATCGTTTTGATAAACAACCACTACAGCATGTTGCAGATGCTGAGCCTGCGCTGCATATGCTGGGCATTCCAATGCACGGAGACCTGTGTGCATTAAAGAAGGAGACTTTCAAGACAATAAACATGCTGCACATTTGACATAATACGAGTACATGGGCCAATGACATGATTAGGGAATATTAGGGATAAATGGCGGGCTTATGTGGCTGGCAATTTCTAGTGGGCATGCATCGCTGGCCATAAAGTTTAAAAGCTACGGCAACAGACCCACCCTTTCAACTATTCAGCTTACATGAGCAGCAAATACCTCCTCGCAGCCGTTTCTAAACATCTTGTCAAGGAAACCTTGCGCAAAGTTTGGTTGGCTATTGATGCGGGTAGATGTTGACAACAATGTCCCTTGCTGCAGCCCCAAATATGTAGGGTCGCCAAACGGAGGAGCGTATTTGTGGAGTTTACAAAAGCAGGTGAAGGTTTTGACATCTGCGCAGGCGTAGCTCCAGCCCTTGCGGCGACCTGTCATTGTTGGTCTCCTGAAGAATCCTAAGGTTCGCTGAGAACAACAAGCATCCACCATATAAGAAGAAGATCCAAACCAATACCGAGGAGCATTCGCGCTAAGCCGTAAGTCACAAATGCCTAACTTCACGTGCCTGGGAGCTTGTCGTGTTGTTGGTCACTGCAGTGGTGCGTTTTGAAATGATGAACCTCAGGCAGCCTCCATTCCGCAGTTGGAACAGGATGTGCAGATCGATGAAAGAACCATGCAACAGATACTCAGCATGAGCCACTCGGTTACACTTGGGATGTTGCTGAACCATGTACCCACAAATCATGTGCAGATGCTTTCTGTCGAACGCGTTTAGCGAGACCTCTGTTATGCGGCCAGGCAAGGATGGGTTGTCTGCAGACAAGATCGCCAAATATTGCATCCTCAGTCCACGGCAAGTTGTCGCCAGCCTTGCAGAGAGACGCATGGACGATGCCCTGGGCGATGACACAGGCGAGCTCTGTGCTTACCGTGTGGCACCGCGAGAGGACGAGGGTCCACTTTGCCCATAAGGAAGAATAGTCCTTGTTCCAGACACCCGCAAGAATTGCCGAGAACATAGCAAACACCCTACATGTAACTCGCGTGCCCTGGCCCGACGGAAACACGAGTTTCTCAAGATTATGGTTACATGAGGCTAATTGTGCTTCCACTAAGCTGTGTTGAAACTCCAAAAAAATTCCTGACCCGCATCGCGAAACCGAGTGGGAGTCCACGACATTCGAAACCCTCAACCTTGCTAAGGCAAGGGCCCAATCACCGCTGGCCCAAGGACTTTTGCTGCAGCATCCTGGACTTCAACCCGGCCGTGGCGCAGGAGCTGAAGGGTTCTACTGCAAAAACTGCTGGATTCTGGGTTGCGGTGTGTTTTGTAGAAAGCTCCTTGCGGGTCTGCATCCAATTCTGCTGGGCTGCTGCTAAGGGTTTTCTGATGCAAATAGAGCAAGGGGCCTCACGGGTTTGTCAGATGGTGTGGGTGACGGCCCGTTCCATCTTTTTTTGCTCATGGGTCATGATAGCTCCGAATCTGTTGGAGTGTGTAGCCATCCATGCAAACACCTGAACCTGCTGAGCCAAGACAAGAGAGGTCATAAACCTTCAATCGCCGCAAAACATAGCATCTATTTACCCGATATTCATGCAAAGTAGCGGGTCCATGTCCAGGCGAAGTTTCCTGCGCCGGAAGCTTTCGTGAAAGCTCGAAAAAGTCCCACCGATGATGAAGAGGCATCGCGAGAAGTTACAGGCCAGGCGTGTGACGCGGGTGACGTCGAACGGGGCTTGCCCAGCCCCTCCGATTCCGATAAGGCCAACGATGACCATGGTCAGATTTTCCGCCGTGCTGCCACTGATCCACAAATTGCAGACGCTTTGGTCAAGGTGGGTAGTTGTCAAAATTATGAAGTCTCAGTGTGAGCGTTGCATGGCTTCAGTTAGAATGCCGCACTTCCAGGCCATGAAAACCACATTCATGTTGCCCACTGTCAAGGCCTTGGAGAAGCTGAACTTGCACCAGAAGTTCAGGAAGATGGCCTTGCGAGCGCAGCGCCGCTACTCTTCGGATCGCTGGCTGGCATGCCGGCTGGCCTTCTGGATGCTGGTGATCGGGGGCCCTGTCATCGTGTATCCTGTTGCCGAGTTCTTCAATAGTTGGGGCAACAGGATCGAACCCTAAAGCCTCCGGAGGTTTAGGCCAGTTTAGGCTTAAAGGTTCCAAGAAGCATTCCGAACCTTCTTGCCAGGAGCAGCAAGTACATGGCTAGCTACAACGTGGCCATGCAAAATTTCTGCTTCCTGCTGGGGCCTTCTCTTGGAGCTTCAGTGCGTTTCTCTTTGGAGGGCCTGATTGGAACGATGCTGGCGCTGGGGAACGTTCTCTTGATCAATCGTGCGTTTGGTTCTTATATGAACGGAGGCGCTTTCGCAAGTCGCATGAATGTAACAGATGTTGCGCTTGGGCAACTCATTTACGACTCCGAGTGGCTGCCTTTATGCAACTTGGGCACAGGGGAGCGCTTTGTGCAGACTAATAGCACGGCCGAATTCTTCCGAGAATGCCTCTTCAACGTGCACTGGGACTCTCTGACGGAGGGCTCGTTGAGGTCCTTAATCGTCTTGGCAGATCTCACGCTCTTTTCAAGCATCTTTCTCTGGATCGGCTTTGGTTGTTGTGTGCGCGTTTACGCTCCTGGATGAATTGAGCAGTATTCTTATGATAGAGTTTCCCATGTAATTAGAAAGCCCCAAAAGGGGCTCATGATGTTGAGAAAGCTTTTACACGTGGACTGGCCCTCAGCCACTTTACATATACACCGTACACCCTATCACACTTCTTGGTGCGATTTCTTTGTGGTTGCCAAAGGCTTTGATCTACACAATTTATTGGGCAATGTCCTTCGTAAACCCTGAATCTGCGGCGTTCAGTGATGATCCCTCCGATCCATGGACTCAATCCATCATGACTTGCACTGGTGCCTTCATCGCCGTGCTGAGCCAGTTGCTGCCTTGCAGGAATGATGCTTTGAGCAAGGCTGCAAGTCTTGCAGCAGAGCTTGCAGAGACCACGAGTGCTGTGATCGAAGCACTGCCACTTGCTGCATCAAGAGCAGAGGTCCGTCTTGCCATTGAGTGCCTGGATCTTCACCAGAGCGTTTTGGTTGGGGTTTGGCTAGCAAACAGTGGTCACTGTGCTGGTATAGATCGTGCTTGAGAAATTTAACTCACCTGCACACCCCAATATTAAGCTGTTATGAACTTTAATTCAGGTGATGGATCAGGACACTGACGGGCACACGGCCAAGTGACGCCAACGGCACCGCCAGGATACTGCGCCAAACGTTCCGGCATGCGCTGTGTGGAAGTGAAAATTCCCGCTGGGCCCGAACCCAAAACACCGAGCAAAGACCAGGTCCAAGTTTTATCGCAGCCATACATGGACCCAAACGCACCCAGCCCCATGCAAAAACATGCCAAACTTACTGCCATGCAAAGTACATGCACCAAGCATAGTGGTGGCGTTTTACTCGATGATGCGAGCAATGTGAGATGTGAAGCCTGGTCAAAGCTGGAGTTTGTTTGGGTTGTGCACACCGACCTGGACATTGTTCGGGACTCACGACACTCTAAATTCAGCGAAACTCCACGCAATCCTATGACTAGCAATCCGAGGTGTTACTTCCCATCTTAGGACACCACACGCGCCCCAAACATCCCCCCACAACAAAACGGATGCCGATGACGAAGGCGCTGGCTGGGACATCAACAAGGACGCCAAATGACGACGGTCAACATTTAGGGTTACAAGGGACAATTGGTAAAGTCCTTAATATTCCCTAATAAGGGCCCATGTCCGTTAAGTACATGAGGAAATACTGACTGCGGCTCAAACGAAAATGAGGCAGGACCTTCAGTTATCAGTGAACGCTATCAGGGAGCACGAGCTTCCCCAAACTCACCCAGAGTCACGCCAAGCTTGCCACAAAACCCACCGAATAAATATCCCAAACCCACCCGAAACACATCCATAAAGTTGGGCATGATTTCCTGCCTTCGTCAATACGATTTTACAGCGTTTCTCCAAATCCTGGAATCCGAGGCAAACGTAAAACGGGACTGACTTACGAAGTATAACATGCTACGTCACTATGGTTCCGGGCTGCCCGAGCTTCGCCAATCTTAGCCGCAAGCCGGGCACTGGTCCCCAAGCCCTAGATGTTGCGCTGAAGATTTGCTTTGATTCTGCCATGGCCATGTCCTCGGGCTATAGACACAACCGCCAGGCAAAACGTCACAGGTACACGCAGAAAGGCTGCTACCCCAGCGCTCGACGACTATTTGAATCGCCTGCGTGGCCATGGAGCTAAGAAGATCAGTGCAGCTGCATGGGTTTCCAGTGCTTCTGACCCATTCGTTATAGTGGCTTCTTGGCAAATCCGTTGTTTCCTCAAAATCATATTGCGCATGTGACAGACAGAGATTGGAATGGCAATGCTGAGACAGACAAGTGCAGCTAGTGACACCATACAACGTGGAACTGAACACCCTCCGACAAACAATGAAAGGGGACCGATGTGCCATGAGACAGAGAGATGTTCGGAGCCACCGGCTAAACCACCAGCACCATGGCACCGAAACGCCAACAATGACATTGCCCGAGACACTGGCTTCCAACAGTGTACCGACCGGGAAATTGTTCAGCAGCTACCCACCGATCACAACGCCAACCAGGAAATCAGAGGGAGCACCCATTGAAACACGAATGGGAGCACGCATTGACAGCAACCCAAATCCAACCAAAAATCCAACTGGACCATTACCAAGACCTACAACACCCCTGTTCACGCCGCCCAGTCGTGCACGCGTGGTGAATCTACTGGTCCTGTCAGTGATTTTGTGTGTTAGAAGGAGGCATGTATCAGACAAAACTGTGCCGATTTGTTTTCAAGTTTGCTGCCCTTGCCAGCATTCGAGATTACAACAACAGCCAAGTCTGATCTTTCGCCAGCTTGGTGTAGTGACGGCTCGCACCCTGCTCCAATGTTAAACGCTCCGCAATACAACCGTTCGCTTGCGCTCTGCCGACTCACGCGGCTCTGGCTGTAGGACAGCACGTACACGGAGCTGGCCGAGCTCTGCTTCCCATGCGATCAGGTAGTGTTGTTGGACGTGGTCCCTGATCTTATGCCACGTTCCCCCTGCGTTAAAATATCAAAAAGCCTGCGCGGTTCTGGCCTTCCCCACGCAAGTAAGCCACTAGCGCACAAACTGCAGTATGCAATTTCAAAGTCTGCTTGGAAACGGGGCTCAATATTCTGGGACAAGAACCACCACACATGTGGATGTTTTGTCAAATGGATGCGCAATCGGAACTGAAGGAGCAAGCCTTTGATATCTTCGTCCCGCTTGCAACTGATCATGAACAATATCAGCTGCCCAATCACGCACTTGATTCACATCCGCTAAAGGGGATGCTTCCGACTTCGGAGGTGGTCCGAACACAGGGTCCACCATGTAGTGCATGACCACCAAACAACAGAGAATTCTTTACACAAACTTGAACCGGGCTGAGCTGGGGAAATGTCGTCATTTTGGTGGGCAACAACATGGACTCATGCAGCCAACAGCGCACTTCCGAGACTTTTTTTCAAACTCAAACGTGGAAGTAGTGAGTATGTCTTGGCTAGATCTCTCAGCAATCGGCGAGTCTTGTTTGGGGTGAAAACCTGGCATGGTTGACTGGCCTCAGTCTGCGCTTTGCCAAGCTACGAGCAATGCGCAGTACTTCCTTAAGGGTAGTCTCAAGGGTGGTGAGACGAGAATGGATCCCTTCCACATTGATCTCCAATTCTGACACGGCGCATCACGAACCTGGCTTTGCAACGAATCCAGCTGGCGCTGCTGAAAGTACTTTTCCTTTCGCTCTCAGGAAATGATGCGATTGAGGTCCCTCCCAATTGCCAGAAGTTCTTCTTGTACAGCATGCATCCATCACTGCATTCCGGCCAGCGGATTGTTACGGTAAATGGGTGTAGACAAATCGGCTCCCAACTCATGAAAACTCACTCGATATGAAATGGCTAACAAACGAAAAACAGCAAAACACTCAGCATGCGCAACAGATGACAGGCAGTACATGTCCCCACATGCCTGAAGGTGGCGCAAAAACTTGTGACATGGGCAGGCGGAGGTGGCGTGTCTTGGCAAGTGTCTTGTGCGCAATGTTTCGGAGAGCAGCCAGATCATATCTATGTTGGACATAGGAGTCGAAAAGTCTCCATCCCATGCTTTTAGCATCATGAACTGGCCGAGTGAACCCAATGCAAGCAATCCATTTGGACTTGAATGCGGAGAGGAGGGTAGCGGATGTGCAGGCCCCTTTGGGATCGCGGATCTGCCATTTTTTTGCACGGAAAATTGTAGGAAATTGCGCGGCTCGGAACGGGGATGACCATGCCCAAGAACTGCAGATCGGCTATTTCTTCCAATTGAACAGGCGGCTTGTAGAAATTGAGATCCGTAAGCTGTTGGGATGCTGCAGAGCATGCGATCGAATTCAGCCAATACTGTGACACGGTTGTCCACATATCTGGAAACAAAATAGTGCAAACGGTGAGATTTCATGAATAGCTGGTGGGGCGCGTACCACATTTGTTCTTTAGCGGCGACTGCAGGACTTACTGATTGGCAATAGTGGCCCATCGACTTTGCTTGAAGATAATGCACCCAAAGAAGCTTGCGTCAAATGCAACACGCACGAACTCAGGAGTGTTTGCCAGATACAGCCGCTTGCAATAAGGCTTGCCTCGTAATACACGAAGCTGCTTCGATAGAGATGGAGAACTGGCTCAAAATCATAAGTTCACGAGCTTGCCGAATGCGTGGATGTGGCAAACGGTTGACAAGCCCAACAAGATCATCATCGAAAACTTCGAAGGTCTCGAGGCACTCCATCTGATCAATATTTCTCATAAACGCGTTCAGTGACGTCTAAAGTTTCATGTTGTGTTTGCGGTCCAAGCCTTCCGGAAAAGCTACTTGTACAACAGCATCAGTCAGAATCGCACAGGCCTTAGTGCAAGTGACAGTGGTGTGGATTTGTGTGCAACAACGCTACGTCCTGTGTTCCATTGCTTCTTTGCTTGCAGCAAAGTGTAGCCGCGTGGAAGCTTGGCGAGGCAACAATCAAATGCCAAGGCATATTTGTCAGACAATTTGCCAACGATGGACGGTAGTCAAGCAAGCGCATGCTCTGGATAACTCAGTACGAGAGAACATTCCACTGTCCAGAAAATTGGCCCGTAATCCTTTCCAATACAATCTGCGACAAAAGTTCTTCAAATGGTCCGGTTGATGATCTTGGTAATGTACCGCGGCTTGGTGAGCAATTTCTGGATGCGAATAGTCTCTGACCATGTGAATGCAGCATTGCGAACTGCTTCGAAATGATGCGGCCATTGTTCATGAACAAATTGCGAGCAATAAGAGAATGTAATTGGAACTTCGTCGTGTTTCGGCCATCGCTGGATGTCCAAGATTCCAAGATGATTGTAAAAAAAATCGCCAGGATAGATCTGTGAGGAGGCATAGAGAGAGAATGTCAAGCACATGACGATGTAGCGCAAGTTCACAAGCAGATGCGGCAACATGTCCATCAAGTCGTGTAGAATGTGCAAAAGACTTGGGAAGTTTGTGCGGCAAGCGCACTCAGTCTCTTTATCAGGATCAATTGCCCGCAAGGACATGTATCTGCAAAATTGCGCGGCTGCCTCTTGATGGATGCGCGCGAGACTACCACAAAAGTGCATGAGGGTAAATGCAAAGGTCATAATGCTGCTGGAAACTGTTGCAACTGCTTGCTCAATCATTGCTTAATTAATAGCTTTGTGAAATCCTGCGTGCGCAAAATTTGGAAACTTAACAGGTCGATTGTTGACAAGAATAGCTACCCCCTTCTTGCGACAGATAAGCCTCAAGATAATTCAAGATGTTGGCCAGTCAGGTCAAAATATCAGTCAACAAACAAAACTTCATTCAAATCATTCACTCAAGCAACTCATTAACAACATGTTGAGGCAGTCGCTCAATCCTTCATTCATGCTGGGCGCTGCGTGCACTCACAATCCGCAGTCCTACGCTGTACAATCTGCAAGGCGAAAGCGGTCAATCTCATCTGCAATCAGAAGGAGCAGTCAAAGTCGTCTTCTGCGTAAGCCGTATGACTTGCAAATCATCATCAATAGGCCTACCAATGGTCTTCTCATGTCTACTCTCCAATCAAAAAGTCACTCAGATCACTCTCAAGGTGATCAGGATGCAATCTGGATGATGGTATCTCATTCAACAAGCTCGTGGCCGCAGTGTGCTCAGGCAGTGCAAGCTGATTACTCGAACAATCGCTCTAGCTGTTTGGGCCAGTAGATGTGCCAGTTGTCGGGAAAACAGGGAGCTCATTCCGGCCATTGCTCATGTTTTGGTCATACCCTTGACACAATTCATCACTGATTGCTTTCCTGGGTTTTCTCAGCCTCATCCAGTAGGGTCTTCGCCACTTCAGCTGCCAACTGCAATCTTCCCACCTGTCAATCTCGCCATTATAGGTTGGAGGTGGGCAAAGTTTGATCTCACTTCCAATCGACCTTGTACCAAAGTCCATTCTGGACGCACTCTGCAAGGCACTGAATTTTTCAGTGCTCCGCTACCATGAAAATTTGAGTGCAATCACAATCTACAATCTACAATACCAACCTACACGTTTGCAGTCGATCAAGAAATGATTCTCCACAGTCACAATCAAACAGCAAGCTTGATCAATCCCTTGTGCACTCACACACTGACAGCAATCCAGTCTGGAGCCAACCGCCATTTGGTGTCATTCATGTATGCTTGTCATGTGGCATACAATTAGGCGGTATTCTGGGAACAGTGTCATCTAACAGACCACCAACGGGACCACCCGACCGGACCACCGACCGAACCAAAGACCGGGCCTGAGAAGCACTGTGGAGCACCATCCACAGTGGACGGACCTCTGACCAGGCCACCAACTAGACCGTTGCCCGACAGGACCACCCGACACCCCCAAATCCAAACAGACTGGCAGGGACACGAAACCGAACACTATGGGGAAGTATGCTTGGATGGCATGTGCATGCTGCAGGTCTGCAATAGATGGGACTGGGCTTTGGCAAGACGACATCGCGGAACACTTGGCCTATGCCTGGTTTGAGGAATCGCGCATGCACGGATTTGAGGGCTTGGTGGTTGCGCGTTGCAATCCAGCAGTCTGTTTTCTGGCGTTGCCATTGGCAGATGAATATTTGGTGAATGTATGATTTTGCATATTTATGAACCTTAACCCTTTGACATCCACATTGAACTTTAGTGCAGTGCATACTGATGCAATCTTCTGCCATTCTCCTCTCAGCCGTCTGCCGATAAGGACACTCCAAGACTGGACAAAGAAGTTTGAGAAAGGTTTGTCACAACCCCTCATCGTCTGATAGAGGGCTTACAATGTCTTATATGTTTCCCTTGTCAACCTTATACTCCTTCATTTCATGACTGTTGTCACTACCTGCGTTTCAGCAAACCCTGAAACACCGAAGCCTTCAACCTCGCCCCCGAAGTACCAGAAGAGGACTTTGACATTTGGCCTTCCAGATGCCAAAGGCGAAAGAAGCTCGAGGCCTTTGCCACATGTTATCTCTTTCATGCTGTGGCAAGCGACTGGAATATCATGATCTCAGGTAGGAAGAGAGCCGATGTAGGTCAGGGTTTATGTTGCATTCGACAAATTAGAATTACGCAGAGACAGCCAGCATGGCCCTCCGAAGGATGACACGCATCTCCTAGATGCATCCTGGTGTTATAGTAGGCAAGGACGTCCTTGAGAAGACTTTTCGGTAGGCCTACGTGGAACTACTTGGTTCACTTCTGCAACATGCCTCGATGGCCAGCCGCCTTGCCGGGCAGACTCTCGAAACCCAACATGAGGCAGCGTCTCTCTATGTTGATATAGAATGGGTCCGTTTTTGGGATATGTTTGGTAATGCGGTCATGTTAACTGAAGGTTGCTCAGGGGAAACGTCTTTTGCAAAAACTTATTGTCGGCAGCAAGCTTGCCTTCTGGTGGCGTATAGCATAAGGGGGACACTGCAGCTACCAGATGCCCTCGTACCAACAAGCATCGCAAAGAGTTTTTGCCATTTTGGTTGCCTCCATTGAAAACCAATGTTGCCTGTCTGGCCCACTCTTACATTGCCGGGCTTGTCGGGAGCACAGGTCCGTTGCACCTGTTAGAAGCCGCAGCATGTTTGGCATACCTGGGGCTTGACGATAGGTTGCCAGTCTCATGTGCTGACCTCTTTCAAATGCAATCATGGGTTGTTTGTGGCTTGGTCAGCACCATAGCAGCATGTTGGGCACGTTGCTGGAGGTGCTCGCGCAGTGCTTTGCGGCAACGTTGCCCTCCATTCAGGACGTGTGTTGCAGCGCTGCTCGGGCCGTGCCTGTCCCTGGCGAGTGTGTGGATGACAGTGCACAAGAAGATTACTTGGCAGCCACTTGGCTTTGGAAGAGTACTTCGCTGCTCAAAGTTGGGATCCTTCTAATTTAGTTTCCTGAGAAAAGTGCTCATGCTTTGGAGTGCACAGTGGATCTTGCACAGTCTTTAAGGCCATGGACAGTTTGGAGGTGGAGTTTCCCAAGGCTGCATCCCAGCTCAGCGGAGTTGCCATGAGCTTGGCCTTGGCGCTTTGCACCATTGCATCAGGCGGATTCTTTTTTCAACATGCCAAACTGGGCATTTGGATGTAAGGGACACGGTTTGCCTGTTCGAGAGCCATGCGAGGCGCGATCTCGCGGCTGAAGCTGCTGGACACCACAACCTTCAAAACAACTTGCAATCCTCTGAGGCAACTTGGCTGGTCTTACAAACTAGTGAATTTCTTGGTTATTCTTGATCCCTGAAGAAAGATGTGGGAGTCAAACTTGGAGCAGGTGCTTAAGTCAATGTATCCAGGTGAGCCTGAGAACTAAGGTTCATCATTGAACTTTCATCCCGGCTCGAACTGTCTCAAACTCGATCCTTGGCTGGATAGGGAAACGTTGACTTTGAGCCTTGTCTGCGCTCTTCAAGTTTTTGGCAGTTAACGCTCGCCAGTCATAGGGCGGCACAGTGCGAAGCTGCGAGAGCCAAGGTCAGTATCCATCGCACCGGCGGTTTGTGCTGCGAAGCACGCTGGCGATCTTGTTTTCATTTTTGTTTGGTTGGTTGGGATTGGAGCGAATCTGTGCCATCGTTGAGCAACATTTTACATGTCTTGAAAATACCCACCCCCAAGCAGGCACGGAAAGATCGTTTGTACATTCCCGACTGACCTAGGAATGCTGAATGCCTACAACTCCGGAGCAGCAGTCACAGTTGCCACCGTCGTGTCTACCACGACAGGGGCTGGTTTCTCCCTTGGCCTGATAACCAGGCGCCTGAATGCAGTTGTCGTGGGCACGGTCTTGGGACACTCCGTTGGCCAAGTTCTCGCAGTTCAAACAGAGTTCCATGCCACACTATTTGCTTTGTGGCTGTGGGTATACGCTTTCGTCTTGATCTTTCAGATTCTGCACTCTTCGACAAATGCAGGAGTTGCACTTCCCACATTGGCCATTGGTGTTTATTCTGTAGTACCTTCATCTGGCGTTTTTCGATACTATAATACCTCGGTCAATGTGCAAGCTGAGCTTTCTTTGGGCTCCAGCGTAAAGGCGGCGGTGCTTGGAGGACTGGCTGCGGGCAAGGCAGATGCTAAATTTTTGTATCTTCTCAGAACAGCTGTAGAATTCCAGGAGCCATCATGTTGCTGATTGATTTGTTCCTCTTCTCCAGTGCACGAAGCCTGGCCCAACAGCAGCTGAAGCACACTGTGGAGAAGTGTAAAGGCCTGAGTCCCGTAAAAACAGGGTCTACATGGAGTTGCAGGTTTTCTTGGGAGATGGGAAGTTTGAGAAAACCCTAAAGCGTGAATCCCAAACACTAGATTAGAAAACTCGGCGCCCAAAGCTACAACCCAAAGCAAAGGCCTGCTCACACGGGTCTTGGACTTGAACCACGTGCAGCTCAAAGAAGCATCTAATGCCGATGGATCTTCCAATGAGGAGGCCCTTGTCCTGCACCATCTGGATGAATTGAAGAGGCTCCTACCCAGTGCTGCGCAAGAGCCGAAGCCAAAAGGAATTGAATTTCCTTTGGAGCTCTTCGAGAAACTTCAGGGCTGGTTCCGTATCGTGGTGTCCGAACTGGGCACGCTGGAATGGCTCTTCGCAATGATTGCCGAAGCTTCGTTAACGTCATCTTCCGACTTGCCTCACCAGAAAGATGTCGAGTCGCTTTTGCTCGAGATGGAATCATTCTTCACCAAAGAACTCAACGATATCCAGGTCATGCTGCAAGATTTGTACGCCAGGAGACTGCAGGCGGCGTTGGGTGGTGATGCCACTGAGGGCACCGCTGGTTCAGCCGCAGCCATTCGACAGTCTATTCTGGATCGCAAAGAAGATTCCCTCAGATCAGCAAGTCCTCAGTCAAGCCACTTTGCAAGGAGGTTGTCTGTTCTGTACGTGGCTGCAGGATCGAGGAAGCAACTCTTCCAGCAGTTGGTCGAGAAGATGCGGATGGCAGCAAGCACAGTGCGTGGAAGAACTCCACTCTTCGACAGGCTATCGCAAGTTGAGCTCCTGATCAGTGCCCTCCATACTTGCAGCGCGGCTATCTCAAACATTCAGATGGCTTTGGCGCAATACGGATGAACTCACCGCATTCTAGAACAATGCAACTTGGCGTCTGCCGGCAGGATGGTGTTTTCTGGGATGCAAAGCAGCACTAGATCATGGAAATTTGTCAAGTTTGGCACATGTCTGAACGAGGTCTACGGAACTGCTTGCAAACGTTGCTGAAACAAGTCACCGCCAGCCCCGCCATCCTCACCATGAGGAGAGGATCAACTTCTTCATGACGCTACCTTGCCTTGCACTTGAAACCGACCTGGCGCACGCAAAAAGCTGGCCGAGCCCAGTGAGGGGGCGCAGACTCAGACAAAACGACATTTGTGCTGCGCAGGCGACTTGCATGGACCCAAAAAGTTCTGCAATGGCAACCGAGGCGAGGCAGAGAATATCCACGAACAGATGACTCATGATCGCTACCATGCTCTTTAGCAACCCCAAGCCCCAAGACCAGCACTTTAACACATCAGCTGCCACATCCCGAACTTTGACATTGCCCCAAATCCAGAGCGGCCCTCGTTTGTGTACACCTGTGAAACGGACAGCGTCCAGTTCTTGTTGGCACATAAAGCCATGTCACTCAGACTCCTGGGCTAAATGGGCAGGTTCCATCTGGAAGCTGTTACTTGTGTTTGAATTCGTTTTTTTTGCTGGACCTTCGGGATTCACGAGCTCAGGGAGCTGCAGCGAAGCATTCGAGAAAAGGTTTAACGTGTTCAGGCTTTCAAAGGCGACTCCGAGGTCAGAATTGCCTAAAGTGATCAAAGTTCCTCAAATGTGACACGGGTTCTTCAATATTCGGAGATAGACCTGAGCCCTACATAAGCCCGAACCAAAGATGCTGGCCTTTTCAGTCCCACCAATGTGCAGCACTTGAAGGGAACAACCCCCAGTGTCCAGGACTGATGACAGGGTAGGTTTTAGGGCTCTGTGCGTAATTAGTGCTTAGGATGTAAGGTCAAGCTTGGTGCATTGGGCTTCGGGGTAGATGAAGTTCCTTGTGAACGGAGAAACTGGCGTTTTCATGCGTGGAATTGTATAAAGATTCATTCACTTCTGTACACGGTACGTGCCCAGGCAGACTTCCGTTAATGTACCTTCTTATCGTAAATTCCTACTTCTAGCGAGAGTGCAGAACGAAGGGTTGGCTCATATTCCCCACCGCTGAGCCCCCGACGCCAGACAAACCCTTCACCCCAAGATCCGCACCATTTACCCTACAACAAAGCAACTTAGTCTCGTAGTCTTTAGCCGCACCAATGGGAGGCTCAACAACATGGTAGCCAAACACACCGAGCGCTAATCCATGGGCCCCCAACCATCGGCCGTCACTTCGCCAACATGAACCCTCCACATGATAAACCCTGGATGGTCAAGCTTGGGGGTCAATGCCGCGTGCGGTAGGGAACAAACATCTTACAGGACCCGATGGAGGCGAGTTTGAGAGGCAGAGTCCCGAGGGAGTTCAGAGTCTTTCGGCGCTACTGTAGCTTGTTTGGGCATTCCTGACCTGTCCACTTTGTAGTTTGAATCAAGGCTACCAATGGGAGCTGCTAATAAACATATTCTTTCTTCAGTTATTCATAAGCCTATTAATAACCCTCCATGGGCCTCCAAGTAGGAGGCAATTACAGGGCAGGTTGTAAGCTCCTTGCTCAGCTCGGCGTACTCGCGTGGCTGGCGCTGCAGCTGGACTTTGAGAGTAGCTCGTGAAATGCCAGAAAGAAGGGGTTTTGAATGTGGTAGAGTCTAGAGGGGTATGTGTGGACGGGGGATGGCTTTCATGGCTCGGGCTTGAGGAAGTCGAGAGTTAGTGGCTTGCAGATGCTTGTAGGGCCAACGTGCACACTCGCCACACGGGTTAAGGGAGCGTAGTAACTAGTAAGCCTAGCTTTGGTTAGCATAAGGAGGGCAGGGCCAACCTTGCTAAGGAACATGCTGGGATACTTTTCAGCATTTGGGGCTCTGTGCCTCTGCACATATTTGGGAGACCGTCACCTCAAGTAAGCCAAGTGCCGTTGTAATCCAATTCGTGGTTTCCGACACTGAGCCTTGCTTGTCTTTCTTGAGGGGCTCAAATGCAACTGCAAAACATGCCCAAAGGCAATTAAAGCACACTTCGGTGCCCTTCGGTGCCTGCAATCTGTGCAAACATCTGGCTCTGGGCCGGGGATAGGTGCTGTGCTCTCTCCCAAGCTGCCCATCAGCCCTTGCTGTACCCATGTCGTCCACCAAGAAGCAGTCCAAGGCACGGTGCTGGAGGGGCTAAGGCTTAAGGATTTCAATTGTGAAGCTGAACTCCACAAAAGGCAGGTTCCTCTGATGGACGTGATGCCTACCGCTATAAAGTAGAATCTGCCAACATAGGCACACCGGCCTGAAGCAGTCAGGGCGAGTGCATGAAGCCAAATCTTTTAGGAACCTGTCTCAACTCGCTGGGATATGAACAGGCCACGGGCTTTGAGCTTAGCAATGCTTGGCATACAGCCCGAGTTAGGAGCAACTGCATTGCCAATGGATGGTCTTGAGGCCTTCAGAGATCAAGACCTGCGCGGGGCATATTAGTCGGAAAAGGGGTGGAATAAGGGAGGTAAGTAGGGAGCAGAAAGAGTGAGGAGGACAGAGAAGGAGAGGTCGACTTTTTGGGGCAATAAGCACAGCAAGCACCGATGGCAGACCAGAAAAAGCTTGGTCCGAAAGCCTCACCGATCCCAGAGCTTCTCAAGTAAGAAATCCGGGAGAAACTCACCTGCATTCGGCAAGCTACCGACTCCTGAGCGTCGTCAGGTCACTATGCCCAAGCCCCAAGACCCTGAGCCAAAAGCTGATGACTGGCAGGCATCGAAGTCGGCAGACTCCATCAATGCCTCCAACTTGGATGGGGGTTTGGTGAGTTGCGGTCTGCCCAAGATCAAAATTTGGGGGATGACATGGTGGAAGAACCTCATGACGCGTGCAGACCTTGATTTGAGAAACAGCCGCTTTTAGACAGCCAGGGCTTGTGCTAGTTTGGGCTTGTGTCTTCAAGGCTCATCGCTAGGTAATTCGATCGAATAGGAATAGACTTCAACTCGATTCAAGGGTCTTGGACAAGTTGGACACTTTCTCCAAAGCAGCACTGCAGCTCCTCTTCTATAGATTCAACAAAAACCCCAGCGTGCGGATGAGAAGGTTTATGGGTAGTCTTAAGCAGGGTCATAATCATTCCCAGTGCATGGGTTGGCATTCGGGAGTCAGTGCGGCTCATTTTGGAGGGTCACCTTGAAACAGGCGGTCTGTGGGATAACTCTGCTGTTCTGGATGGTTCTGCGTTCCTCTCTGGGGTTGATGGCAGTGGAGGCTCAAGAAGTCGGGACTCTCGCGCCCGTATTTGCAGCTGGGGAGTTGCGGCCGTTGCTCTGAATGCTGCAGGTGCTTGGGAATGTGTTGCTAGGATTGGAGGTGTGCTCCCCGGATCTGGCTTTTCGTGCCTAGAGCTGAGTTGCAAGCCATTGTTGAGTTGATTCGGCGTACTCATGGCTCGGTTTCTTTTGCCAGCGATTCGCTTTTGAATGTGAAAGTGATGCGGCGTCTGCTTGATACACGGCGTTTGAGGTCCGCGGTTGCCAACTTTGATTTATGGCTTGAAGTTCGTACTGCCCTTGACAGCCGTTGGTTACGCAGCACTTGGGTGAGGTTGCACCTTAGTCAGGATGAATATGTTGCTCAATTCAGTGCGGACACTCTGTGGGCTTTTGTTGCCAATGAAGCGGCCGATGAGGCTGCTGGAAGTATTAGCAGGTGGCTTGATAAGCAACATGTGCTTGGCACGTGGGTCTCCATTAGACGTAGCACCGATGTTAAATGTCGCAAGGCGTTGGAATATCTGACCGCCAGGGCCATGCGTATCTTACAGGTTCCTGCTCGTCCCCGTCCAGGGACCTAAGCCTGCGACGCGTCGAGAGTTCCTGGAGGCTTTGCCTCTCATTTTCCCCCAACACAGTTGGCAGCTTGGTGTGGCCGGATCCTTTTCCTGGTGTGTTTGCTGTGGGCTTAGGGTTGTGGATTGGGAGGATTGGCCTCACGACCTTGTTCTCGTTCGACGTGCGATTGGCAAGATTTTGGAGTGCATCCTAGTCATGACCTCATTTTCCAGACCAGGCAGTTGTGGTCCTGTCGTTCCTGTGGTCTTTCTTTGAAGCCCCATAGTCGAGCTGGTGCCTGGATGCGACTAGCTCGAGGGTGTCGTAAAGCGTAGTTTAGGGAGTGAGCTTTGCTCTGTTTCTTGTCAAAAAAAGTAGGGTCATAACCACGATTGTTGGACCACTCACGGGCTCCGAGATGGGCGTCTACTCAATTCTTCCTGTGCCGCCAGATGCCCATGACACAGTCCTTGTTTTGAAAGTCCGGATTGCGTGGTCTGCTTTGTCCAGAGTTGCTATACATCACAAGTTTTCATATAGATGTAAAAAAACTCAGAAGTTATGGAAAGCCTCCCTACTGCTTAGTCTGTGCCATGCATATCCCAGTCCGAGGTACAGGAGCCGTAGCGGAAGTTAGGAGTGTATTCGGAAGTTTCAATCAAGGGGTGCCCTTGAAGTCCCTGAGACTTGCGAGGCATATGATCATGGGGGTTCATGCTTATAGAAAGCGTTCAAAATGCCGGGACTGAGGCCCGTTTGCAGTTGGTGATGAAAAGCGGCAAGTACAGCCTCGGCTACAAGACCACACTGAAGACTCTGAGGCTCGAGGTCTACAACGCGTGGTTGGTAGATGCATTTTGATGCGCTTCAAATTTCTGTCGACTTTTTGGCATGTTTTAGGATGAATGGATATCTGTGGGCAGCCCGGGTCTGTTTCTGATTAGCCAGTGCTCTTCCCACCAGATAAAGCCTTTAGTCTCATTCCGTGTCCTATGCAAGCGCTGTACAACCTTTCAACTGCAGCAGCTGCTTCTGAGCAGCCGATGAGAGAGCAGTGTTACTAGGCAGGTTGAAGCTTCTTCCCTTTCATCTCATTATGTCACAAATGTTGGTTCCTTTTTGGGGTGCTTTTGTAAGGTATCAAGGGGACCCCCTGCTCAGAGCAAGTGCTAACTGGCGCTGAAATCTGCGCTCACCTTGCTGACCCAACTTCTCCACTTGAACGAAGCTGGTTCATTGGAATGGTTCATGCCGCGACTGACATTCTCTGGCGTCAAGACTTTCGGGCGTTGTGGCGGGGGCTAGCTTGGGTTTGGGGCTGAGGGCTGTAAGGCTTCTGGGCCTGTAGGTTTGTTAGTCCTCCTGAACCCTGTAACTTCACTCCGCAAGGAACCCTGGATTTTTGGGATTCCATGTGATACCAGAAGAACCCTCACTCGCCCACATGTCCTTTGCTGCGGTCAGCTGGGAAGAATGCATGGCTTACAAGGGGCCTCCACGTATTTGTAGGCTACATAGTACTTGGAGCTTGAAGTTTTGCGAAATTCAAACTGCGCAGTTGGGCACCAACTAGATACACCCAAAACCCCAGTCTCTGAGCCTGGATCCCTAAACTCCAGGCTTGAAACCTCAACCCCAGAAGCAGGCAGGGCAAGTCCAAGCTTGTGCTGATCTCCAACAACTGCCCCGCTTTGAGAAAGAGCGAGCTGCGTCCTAAGGCAATTGGATCTCCAGCAGTTTCAAAGAGGAGAAAGGGCTTTACAGAATAGCATGAAAAATGCATACTCATTCCATACCAAGTTTGGGGCAGCCTGAAGACGCTTCGGATGCATTGGTTTGCAGGAGAAACGGCTGATGTGTGTATGCGTGGCAGCTTGAAGGATTCCGGCAGTGAATGACAGCAGCATACATCCGCCTCGCCAGCAGCCCCACCAGCTGTTGTTTTGAGTGTTGCTGAGACACCAGCAACACTGAGCCTCAGTGTGCTGGATGAATTGAGGTCGCGTTTCCCAAGGCCATCGACAGAAAATGAAAATATAGAACATTGCCCCTAGAGTTGCCGGCGAGGAAACCATCTAAAGAGCATTAAGCTGGACTCCGAGGATTGAGTACTACGCCATGCTGGTGCGGGCCTCGGGCGCCATTATCGTGAGGATTGAAATTGCTGAGACATGTTAGAGTGAGCAACAGCCCGTGCTCGCCAAACCTGGCACATGCCAGCTTCCTTTCAAACAAGCCCTCAACCTGAGGCAAAGACTGGGGTGCACCACTTCCATGGTGACAACAACGAGCTTGGAACAGCCTGTGGACGATACTACCGCCAATAGCTCAAGTTCTGATGGGGACCGGTGTATGCAACGATGGATTGGGGGTTCCGTATTTCAGGCCAGGGGTTAAGATTTTAGGGCTCTAGTGCCTGTATGTCCGAATTCAATGAAGAAGCAGGCCTGAAAGTGTGCCATACGAAAAGCTGGATTTCTAGAACCCCGCCGGAGGTGCCCATGAAGTTCATTACCGAATTAGGATCCTGGGGTCGGCGGGGTGACCGACGGTCGTTGCGTTTGTGTTCGCATGCCTTCATGAGGCAAACCCAGGACGAACAGATTCCACTCTCCACTCCGCTTTCCACCTCACTTTCTTCTCTAGACTCCACTTTCCACCAATTTCCTCTCCACGATCCACTCACCCAGGGCCCATCGGATGAAGACTCCAGGGTACAAAATCGACGACGGATGGTGACATTCACGGGCTTTGGTTCTGTGACCGTTGACAGACACTTTGGACACGAGACATGTCCAAAAAGCCACGACGGTCACGAGGATGGCGATTCCTTGCGTATCGTGCAGTTTAATCATCGCGAATTACATGTCAACTGTCCTCATTATCAAGTGTTGCCAGGGCAGTGCTTAGGAAAAGCGGTTGTTGGCTCAAGGCATGAAGAGTATTTCAGGTATAGCAAGCGCTGTCCGCAGGAAAGTTGCGCTCCTGGGTCCGTGCTTATCCGTGATTAACGTTAAGTTGCTACCTCGCTTGCGATGCCCTTCTCATCAGCACGACCATGACGTTTCTGATGCTACTGGTTGTGAATACAATGGCTGCTACTTCATGCCACGTGTGAGACAGGTGTCCTAAAGCAGAATTTCGCTGGCCGATCCAAACCTAGTTCTGAATCAGTTATTTTACGACAGGGTGCCTCTATTCCTCACAAGCAGATAATAACCAAGCACCCCTGTCCTCGTGGTAGCGAGTTGAGACTGGGCACACATGCTACTTGGCTGCGGTACGCACAAGCCTAGGCCTCGTCAGGTTGCAGCCTACCAAGAGAGTATGATGTGGCAACAGCAAGTACTGTACTTGTGTTTGGGGCTGACATGCGGTTGTGTCAAATCTCTGATGGCTCTTGCGGTCCTTTTGTAAGAAAGCTCTTTTGAATACCCAGAAGGTAACCATAATCTGGACAGCCCCCATATCAATGCTAGGGCACCCTCTTGCTCTTAGACCAGGCGTGAGCTGCCTCTCCATCACGGACCCGGGCGATTCCGACATCATCAAGTCCCTGCCTGGCCAGGTCGGGTTGGTGTACGATTCAGGGGCTTGACAACTTTGCAAAACCCTTCCTACATGAGCATAGTCTTTGTTCAGCCTACGACCTAGGATTTGCGACATCTCAATTGTACCCAAGTCCCTACTCCAGCTGCTTGGGCCCTCAGCGTCTCCTGATCAGTGCATCCTCATGCCTTGCATGGACAGAATTATTAGTGTTTTTCTCAGGAGTGTCTTCGTGTCAAAGTCGGTTGTTTGGAGTTCTGGCACTTAGGACCTTCAGCTTCCAGATCATTATGTGGTGAAACGTGCCTTTGCATCAGGCCTTCTGATAATTACTGTCCGTGAAGCCTTCACTTCTTTTGGGCATTGTCCTGATGATGACTCATTGGCTTCCTCAGCTCCTTTGCCCAGACAGTACATGGACCACGCCTGCGTTCGACGTTTCTTGACATTGCCCTGAAGCCTAGGATGTTAAGTTTACGGCTGAGTAGGGTTGTGAACGTGGTCAGTGTTGAGCACCCCGGGTTTCAAGGACGGAGCAGTTAAAAGCTAGCTGATCTGCAACACTAGAGGTAAACTCCAGCATTTAAGTACGACAGTTTACGACATAACCAGAGCAGGTTTTGCGCTCTAGGGCATCTAGGGATTTTGAAGCCTTAAGGCGGCTTCTGCGCTTGGTGTTACGATCACCGCCTTTGAGATGAGCCTTCGATCCTCAAAGGATTCCTCCGCAGTTTATGCCTCGTGCTGGCAGGAGTGAATGCTTGCAGCTTTGTGGTCATGGGAGCAAGGACGGGCTGTATTGAGCGCTTTGACGAATGGGCGGTCGTATCATAATGGCCATAGCACTTCAGATAGCATCAGTATTCGCAGTGTCCGAGTCGTTCTGCTAGCGACGCTAGTATTGTGCCGCCAGCCTGCAATCTCCAACAAGGTGCCTGAATCGTCAAGCAATAGCAGCATGCTTAGAATGCAGTGTAGAATGGCGACAACAGCGTGTAGCAATGAGTCCATTTGGACATTTCTGACACCGGTGGCTTCCTTCTGGCTCCTGAGGCTAGGACGACCTGTGATTGAGCATGGTCATTCCCCTTGAAATATGGGGTTATCATTCCGAATACTGCCAAATTCTCCTAGAAACCATAGCAGATCAGGCAACAATCCGGGATTGCGGCCAACTCCATGAGCATAAGGTTCTTTGTGAAGCAGCAATGCTTTACATGTCTCCAGCAAGTGTCTAAGTCCTTCGACTCCAAGACCATTTGCAGGTAAAACTGCGTTTTTTCCGGATAACCCTTCTTGCTGAAAATATGTTTCTCCATATGTATCAGCATGGTAACCTGTCGTATTTCCTGCAACCTTTTTCTGCACCTGCTTACATCGTACAACGTGCAAGTACCCCTTTCCCATTTGCGACAGGACTGTGCCAGACGGAGCGGAGAAAAGATATTTGGACGAAATCAGGTTGGATATCCATTACCCATAACCCCGGAGGAAATTTTGTCTTTTCATCTACAGAGTTCCATGGTTCTCGAAGAACGTCAATGTTCACAAATTTTGGATATCATCTTCAATTATTTCCCGCAAAATGCTCTGAGGGACTAGAATGAGCTAGAGATAATATTTTTTGCGATCATACCAGGGGGCAAATTATTGATCGAGATGGGGGAATGGTATAGTTACTATCAATTCTTTTGAAGGATTTCTGGAATTTTGGTCTAGATGCTTTTGCGGGAAGATTTCATGAATGATAGATGATTTGGACTTTTCATTTCTCTCGTATTCTCTATTTATTTATTCCTGTCATGTTTATTTACTCTATAAATCTCTGCGTATCTCCGCGCGTTTTCTGCGTTTTCCGTCTGCGCGGGAAAAATCCTGGATATTTGGCGGATTTGAGCCTAGCTAGCATTCGTGCGGAAGCCTTGACACCTTCATATTTAGTCGTGACTGATCTTCCAAAAAATCTGGGATATTGGAAAAACTGCTCCCAGACATTTTGGAGACCGTTCTTCCAAAATATCCGGGACATTTCGTAGACCACGACCCTCGAAATATTTGGGATATTTTGGAAAAGCGGTCCGGCAAAATATCCGGAATGCTTTCACCAAGGCTTCCATACAAGCATGCTGCTAGTTAGGCTCGAATCCGCGGTGGCAGCGGGTGGAGGTGGGTGGAGGTGGCGGTAGGTGGCGGTAGGTGGCGGGAGCGGTAGGTGGCGGTAGCGGTAGGTGGCGGTAGCGGTAGGTGGCGGTAGCGGTAGGTAGGTGGCGATGACGGTAGGTAGTGGGTGGCGGGGTGGTGGCGGGTGGGGTGGTGGCGGGGTGGCGGCTGGCGGGCTGGCGGTGTGGCGGTGTGGTGGGGTGGCGGTGCGGCGGGGCGGTGAGGCGTTGTTACGGTACTGCGGGGGTGCGGCGTTGCGGCGTTGCGGCGTTGCGTTGCGCCGTCGCAGCGTCTCGATATCGCGGTTTCGTTGGGTCGGGTAGGCGAGGGCTATATTGGTAAGGCGGCGCGGCGATATGATATTTTAGTGGCGGGCTGGTCGCGATACTTCGGATTTGGGGGCTGGGACGATATGGGGCCGCGAGCAATATCACGTGATACGGCATATAAATATTTGATTGAAGAATTCTAATATTGGAATCGAATTCTATAACTAAATTTATGAGATAAAAGAATGAATAATATGCAGAAAATTTATCTGGGACTAATAAATATGGGCAGGATTTTGGGATGATAATAGGAATAATTCTCTTTTAATATGAATTATTCTAAATATATTTAAAATATGAATTATATATTTTTTTAAACTATATCGTGATATTAAAATATGATGTTTATTAGGCAAGAATATGTAATTCTACGAAATTTTTGCGATAGATTTAATAAATATGAAATTCATCTCATAAATATATAGATTTACGAATATTTGATAGATTATTTTTAATTATCTCTTAATTTTTCATATTTATATCATCGATATCTTATTATACGTATTTTTTGAATTCTATTTCTAATTCATTAGCTCGATACTCGATCTCGGGCATGATATCTTTATCGCCTGAAGATTTAATGGACTCTTAAGGCGCACCGGAGGATACAAGATAGAGGATGACATTTATTGGGGAACGAGAAATCGAATTCGATGGTAATATTTCGGGAAGACTTGAGAATTGAGAATACGCGTCAGATCTTTTCCTATTTGATCTTCATGGGAGATGCAGATTGAGAAAGAATTTCTGAATGACGTGATTCGGATAATCTATATCGATTTATGAAAATATTATTATTTGAATCTCGTGCAAGTGTTATATATATTTAGCAATCATTATAGATATATTTCAGAATTTTGTCCTTCAAGATTTAGATTTTTGCGAAATAGCGGTCATATTTCAGAGACTATGCTCTAAGATTTGAATTTTCAAAATAATAAATGTTGAAAAGATTCATATTCTAAGATTTAGATTTTCATTTAAATTCATATTTAGAGATTTAAATTCTAGAATTGAGATTTTCAAAATATATGATCATATATTATAGATATATATTCTAGATATTAAATTTTGATAAAATGAAAATCTTTTCTTTTCGAATCTATATTGATATAAGATTTTCTATTTTCAAATATCTTATATCGCAGAGCTTTCGTCTAGAATATTGAAATTATTGGCGAAAAAATATTGATTTTCGTGAAATAAATTCATCATTTAGGAGATGGCGGAGAAATTCTTGGGATCGTATATCATCTTCCGAATAGAATAGAGGAGATTCAT